GTCACCATGTCACCGTGTCACTCTCTTCCTCTTCCTCCTCCTCCTCCTCCTCCAGCTTTGGTATTTTTTTATGATTATCCCGGATTTTATTTAAATGTTGGTCTCCCGGGGGGGCCGGGTTCCTGCTCCCCCCGGTTATTTATGAGACAGCTCCGATCCCACCTGGCACATGGGCATTCCCCTCCCCTTGCCCTCCCCTCCCAGCTCCTCCTCTTCCTCCTCATCATCATCATCCCTTTTTTGGTTTTGTTTTGTTTTTTTGGGTTTTTTTTTTTCTGTTCGTTTCTTTTTTTAAAAAACCAATAAAAAGAAAAATTCCCAAGTCCCCGGGGCGGGAAGAAGAGGCCTGGTGGTGTCGGGTCTGTCTGGAAGTGGGGGGCACACACACGAGGGGGGGGCACCACGCCCATTCTGAGCCTTTATTCCATGCTGTGGAGCAATAATTTAGCCGGTGGGGCTGAAGGCAGCCTTTATTTTTTTGCAGTTTTTGGTAATTAAAAAAAAAAAAAAAAAAAAAAAAGACACCAGGGCAAGAAAAAAAAAGGAAGGAATGAGATTAAAAAAAAAAAACAAATGAAGTAATTTGAGGAGGGGGCGGGGGGAGGCGTTACCCCTGCGGCGTCACCCTGACAAGATGTGTCTCACAAAGGCTGGGGGGAAGGAACGAGACATGATGGTCAGGGAGGGAGTGGGACCGCGGGTGACCCCCCCGGGACCCCCCCAGGGACCCCCCCCCGGGACCCCCAGGCCTCACCTTCGTAGTTGATGCAGCCGTTGCTGTCCTCGTGGCCGGCCACCAGCTGCTCCACCTCCTCCTCGGTCATCTTCTCACCTGGGGGACATCGGTGTCACCCTGGGGACGTGGGGGGGTACACGCCCGGGGGGGCTGCAGGGCTAGCCGGGGAGACCTTGGGGTCTGGGGGGGCTTAAAGGATCAGACTGGAGGCACCAGGACACCCCTGGCAGCAGCTTCGGGACCCTCAGTGTGCCCAGACCCTCCCCTGGCAGCAGCTTCGGGACCCTCAGGGTGCCCAGACCCCCCTGGCAGCACCTTTGGGACCCCTGGCAGCACCTTTGGGACCCTCAGGGTACCCAGAACCCCTCCTTGGCAGCAACTTTGGGACCCTCAGAGTATTCCAACCCCTCCCTGGCAGCACCTTTGGGACCCCTGAGGCACCTCCAGGACCTTCAGGGTACCCAGACCCCCCCTGGCAGCACCTTTGGGACCCCTGAGGTATCTCCAGGACCCTCAGGGTACCCAGACCCCCACCATGTCAGCAGCACTGACCCCAGAGCACCTGGACCCCTCAGCAGCAGCTTCGGGACCCTCAGTGTGCCCAGACCCTCCCCTGGCAGCAGCTTCGGGACCCTCAGGGTGCCCAGACCCCCCTGGCAGCACCTTTGGGACCCCTGGCAGCACCTTTGGGACCCTCAGGGTACCCAGAACCCCTCCTTGGCAGCAACTTTGGGACCCTCAGGGTATTCCAACCCCTCCCTGGCAGCACCTTTGGGACCCCTGAGGCACCTCCAGGACCTTCAGGGTACCCAGACCCCCCCTGGCAGCACCTTTGGGACCCCTGAGGTATCTCCAGGACCCTCAGGGACCCCCAACACCCCAGAACTCCCCAAAACAGCACCTCAGGGACCCCCAATACCCCAAAACCCCCATCTCAGCACCTCAGGGACCCCCATACTCCAGAACTCCCCAAGCCAGCATCTCATGGACCCCCAAATTAGCACCTCAGGGACCCCCAAAGCCACAGAACTCC